GGCCGATGGTTGTGAATAAAGCGATAGGATTGCGGAGAGCATCCAACCGTTAATTCCAAATTTTTGTAGCGTTAACTTCATAAATTGCCAATGTATACGATCGAAAGCTTTTTCTGCATCAAGGGAAAGGAGTATAGAGGGTTGTTTGGTGGAGTCAAGTTTGTGGAGGAGAGATAACAATCTTCTGGTAGCATCGGGTGCTTGGCGGCCGGGGGTAAATCCGACTTGGTCCGGATGGATTAGAAGGGGAAGAGAAGGTAGTAGTCTTTGAGCTATTATTTTGGCGTAAAGTTTGATGTCTGTGTTTAGCAGTGAAATTGGTCTATAATTATGGGTTAATTGGGGGTCTTTGCGAGGTTTTGGGATTGTAGTGATTATGGACATTAGCATTTCTTTCGGAAAAGTGCCTGCTTCAGCCACATGGTTATAGAGCGTGGAGAGATAGGGAGTTAAATGTGGGGCAAATGTTTTATAAAATTCATTGGTAAAGCCATCAGTACCTGGGGATTTGTTGAGAGGCAGCGATCGAATAGTTTGTTCTATTTCCACTGGCGTTATAGGGAAGATATGGATTCAAGTTGTGAGGATGTAAGGTGAGGAAGATTTATATCGTTTAGAAATTTTTGTATTAGTGTGGGTGTTGGTTGAGATGTATTTGGGTCATCTATAATATTGTATAGTGTCTTGTAGTAATCAGCAAAGGCCTCCGCTATATCTTGTGGGTTTGTAAGACAGTTTTGTGTTGTGGGGTGTCGGATAGAGATAATTTTAGCTTTAAGGCGTTTTTGCTTAATTGTTTTGATTAGGAGTGAATTTGCCTTGTTAGCTAGGGAGTAGAATCGTGTTTTTGTTTTCTGTAGGTTTAAGTCATATTTGTGTAGTAGGAGTATACGGAGTTTATTTTCTATCAGCGGAGAGAGATGTAGTTATGGAGGGGGTAGGGTTTTTCTTATTTGCGTCTTCCTTAAGTTTTATGGATGTTAATAATTGGTCGATTTGTTGGGTTCGTGTCCTATTTATGCGTGCGTTAAGTTGAATGAGAATACCTCTCATATATGCTTTGTAAGTAGGCCATAATGTGGAAATGGAGATATCAGGAGTATCATTACATTCAAAAAATACCTTATGTGCATCTAATAAGTATTTCTGATTCTCAGGTTGTTTCAAGATCGTAGAGTTCATTCTCCATATTCGGGGGATTGAAGAGTGTTGAATGTCGTCTAGGGTTATATTGACTGGAGCATGGTCCGACCAAGTTATATTGCCGATATTGGATGACTTTATATGCTGAAGAGTCCATTTGTCCGTAATGAGAAAGTCTATTCTGGAGTATGATAGGTGAGCTGGGGAAAAATACGTGTAGTCTCTTTCCGTGCCGTGTTGGCAACGCCAGACATCATATAGGTCATGTGTATGTAGAAAGTTGTTGAAGCTCAAGTTGGAAGCTCTTTTGGTTGAAGATGAGTCCAGAAGTGTGTTTCCAATGATGTTGAAGTCCCCTCCAATAATAAGCCTGCCCTGTGATATAGGGGAGACTGTAGAGTAGAGTTTTTTGTAGAATTTAATCTGTTGGTGATTAGGGCCGTATACATTGACCAGAGTATATGGGATATTATTGATTTTACCGATTAAGATATGAAAGCGACCTTGAGGGTCCGCCAATTCAGAAATGAACTGAAATTGTATAGAGTCCTTAATGGCTGTGATGACACCATTTTTTTTTCTTTTGGTTATTAGCCATGTAGACTTGGGAGAAGCCGTGCATATTCAACTTAGGGAATTTGGAAGCTGCAAAGTGCATCTCCTGTAAGAACAGGATATCAGCATGGAGTGTGCGGGTCTCTTTGTAGAGCATAGATCTCTTAAAGGGAGAGTTCAAGCCGTGCACATTCAGAGATGTAAGGTTAATCATTTGTAGTGTTGGTGGACTGTTTGGTATAGTATGTTAGTTGTTTCAAGATAATAGGATAGTGACTACCGAAAAAAAGTTGCAGAGGATATGTTCCAACATGTTTCAGGTTGCAAAGAGGATCAGACGAGCTGGTGGTTCCAGGGGTTGGATAGGTAGGAAAGGGTAAAAAAAATCTTGCGGAAAACGCAAGGAACATGAGTAGCAATAATCGCTACTGTCAAACATGAGGGTGCGCGTTGGCGTTGACCAGAACGGAGGTCATGCCAGACTTTCAATCGGGACATTTGTGGACTTAGTGAGGCCGTGAGTCAGTGTTACAGGTAGTAGCGGTCATTTGGCTGAGAAGTCACAATTGGACCATGTAAAGGTGCTCAGAGATTTAGTTATTCTGCTTCCATTTGTTGGTGGTTGTAGTGGGCAGAGCGTGGCGGATCCACTGGTATTATGTTCCAAGATTGCAGTAAGTCAATGCCGGATTCCAGTGTTTTGATAGTGTAAATTCTACCGTGGCGTTTAACTACTAGTTTAGTAGGGAATCCCCACTGGTAGCTGATACCATGGTTACGGAGTGCCTTGGTAACAGACACTAATTTTTTGCGGTTGAGGAGTGTATCTTTTGACAGATCTGCATACAATTTGATGTTCGCATGGGATGGTGGAAGAGGTGGCGGGTTTCTGGCAGCGGCCATCATGCGTTCTTTCACATGGTAAAAATGGATACGGGCTAGAACATCTCTCGGAATGGAAGCCGCGAGGAAAGATGGTTTGGGTATCCGATGTGCCCGATCTATGGCCAGCTCTTGCTCCGAAATAGATGGGAGTAGGTACTTCATAAGTTGTTGAATGTATGGGAGCAGAGCATCAGTGGTAATGGTTTCTGGTATACCTCTTAATTTGACGTTATTCCGCCTCGAGCGATCTTCTAGATCTGCTATTTTTAACTTAATTTGCTCAAGATCTGTCGAGTGGTCTGTGTGTGTGTCTATCATGTCGTTATGAGCTGAAATCAGATCCTCCATTCTTGTTTCAATATGGCGTATTCTCAAATCTTGTCGTTGCATTGCATTAGAGATTTGGGTTAAGGAAGCCGTGATATCAGTATGCAATGTCTGACGCAGGGAAAGTAACATGTTTTTCATACTAATCTCTGTGATCGGTTGATCAGATACTGGGAATGATTCTATCAGTGAGGGAGCGAGGGTTTCCTGTATTGTAGGTAATACATGTGGTAGGTTCTCAGTGATAGGATCTCTTTCTAGCCTTGGCCTTGATTTTACAGGGCTGCAGGAGGTAGGGGATAGTGGAGGTGATGGTGGTGGAGATGACTTACCCGGGTCCCCGGGGTACAAAGGAGATCTCAGGCGCGGATCCGTGTGCAGGGCTGCACCATCTCCCCCTGTGCTGCTGTGCCTGTCTGACGAGCCGGCGCCATCTTGGATATCAGGGGAGACGGCCGGAAAGAAACTCGTCGGTTTCCCTGGTGATCCAGGGGTTCTGCGGCGGCGAGGCATGTGTTTGGAGGGTTGCATACCCTTCATGAGTGGTCCGGTGCTGGTCGGGACTCTCAGGTCTGTTGTGTGCCGCTGTAACACTGACGGTGGGACGGAGCAGGTCTCAGTCCGTGACCATCCGCTCGCCGGCCGCGCATGCGCCCCCGTAGTGCATTTTTTAATGAGGTTAAAAAAAAGTATCAAAAACGCATGTGCAAAAAAACGCAAAAAGCACTGCAGAAATGGATCAAATGCAAACTGCATAGGTGTGAACCAAGCCTTAGGGCTGTTTCACACGGCTGCACTGTAGCCAAACCCTAAGTTATGCAGTGCAGTGTACCTGCAGTTTTTGTATGGGTTACCTGTGGTGTCTCATAGACTTCTATTAGATTGGCCATTTTTGGTGCATTTTCTGAAAGTGCATCAAAAGTCTTGCATGATGCATCATTTGGTGTGCTTTCAGAAATCATCCAAAAATGCAAGCTCTAATAGCAGTAGTGGATACCGTGGGTACACTGCGCTGCACTTGCGCTGTGGCAAAACTGAAGCTCGGCAGTGTGAAATCACCCTTACTTAGAAGTGATCACTCTCTTTTTCCACCATGTAATCTCATAATCTGATTGATCGAAATACAATTGTATTCATCAACAAAGTATCTTAATGCTGCGGATGAACTAAAAAGATCAATAGATTTTCGTCCTGGCTTATCGGCTGTTTGATCAAATCCAATCTAAATGGAGTCCTATGATTAGAAGCAAAGTTATGGCTAATTCATTGGTTGCAGTTTGATTGAATCACTCATCAACCAGGCAATAAACTCAAAGTGTGTGTGGTCACCCTTAGAAAGCAGGCTCTGGTGTTCACTGTGACATGAGTGGTGTTGATGCCATGAAAACACCACATCACACTGTAACCTTTTTTGCTAAAGTGACATTGCATTCAGTTCTATTTACCGCAGTGGCATTGTCATACTTTTTTTTTTTTTTTTTTAGTACACATCAGTGCAGTGGTGTGAATTGGCCCATCTGTGAACAAGGCTATGGCAAATTGCCACTTATGCTCTGTTCACACCAGTGCGACTTCAGATGTGCCTTGAGTCACAATGAATCGCATGACAATGGAAATCACATTGTTTTCAATGATGTTCGCTCTGTTCACATCACTGATGTGAATCCACGGCTTGATTTTGGAAAAACTTCCTGTACTCCTTTGGTGCGATTCCAGCATTATTTTGGCCACAGAAAATATGGAAACCACATCAAAGTAGCATCCACATTTAATCCAAGTTAAACTATATAATTGCACTGAAAGTCGTGTGAACATAGCCTAAAAATTAGACAAAAAATATTACACAATACAGTTATACCCCAGTGCAGTTGATCAAATTCATGTTTATAGTTTCCCTGGCTGAAGCCCTGGGTCCTTTACTAATGATTACTTGATTGCTCTGATACATTGTATCTTTTTCCCCTTTCTTGAGTAGAAATGTGTAAACTGTAAAGCGGAGTTCCAGTTGATTTAAAAAAAATTAAAAGTCAGCAACTACAAAAACTTAGCTGCTGACTTTTAAAATACAGACACTTACCTGTCTCACGATCCAGCGGTGTCCTCACCATGGCTGGTTTCACCAGCCTTCTTCTCTCCCCCGGCATCTTCAGTGTGGGCACCCGGCTGTGACAGCTTGTGGCTTCACAGCTGGGTGCCCACTGTGCATGGGCAAGTAGCGCTGCGCTTTGTGAATGGTCCCTTAGTCTTCTGGGACCTGTCATGTGAAGACTGGGGAGGGAGGGGGGGACAACTTCCTCTTCCGATCACCTTAGGTGATCTTAGCGAAAGTGGGAGCAGGTACCTGTCAAACCCGGGTAACCGCTCCCCAAAGGTGCCAATCCTTAACGGGGAGAGGGGGACAATGAATTAAAGCAGAACATTCCCTTTTGGGTGGAGCTCTGCTTTAAGAAGATAATAAAATAACAAATAGCTAGATCAGGGTTTGATGTAGATCAGTGCCAGGATTAGAGTTAGGGTCAAAGATCATGGTCAGGGTAGTGTACAGTTGTGCTCAAATGTTTGCATACCCTGGCAGAAATGGTTAAATTTTAGCATTGATATTGAAAATATGACTGATCGTGCCAAAAAGTTGTCTTTTATTTAAGGATAGTGATCATATGAAGCTATTTATTATCACATAATTATTTGGCTCTTTTTTAAATCATAATGATAACAGAAATCACCCAAATGTCTCTGATAAAAAATTTACATACCCTGGAATATTTGGCCTTGGTACAGACACACAAGGTAACACACAGGTTAAAATGGCAATTTTAGGTTAATTTCCAACATCTGTAGCTTTTTAAATTGCAATTAATGTCAGTGTATAAATAGTCAATTCGTTTTTTAGCTCTCACATGGTTGCACTGAGCAGGCTAGATACTGAGCCATGGGGAGCAGAAAAGATCTGTCAAAAGACTTGCGTAATAAGATAATGGATTGATGGAAAAGGATATACAAAGATATCCAAAGCCTTCAATATGCCAGTCAGTACTAATCAATCACTTATTAAGAAGTGGAAAATTGGAGATCTCTTGATAACAAGCTAAGGCCGGCTAGACCAAGAAAGATTGCAGCCACAACTGCCAGAAGAATTGCTCGGGATGCAAAGAAAAACCCACTGGTAAGCTCAGGAGAAATACAGGCTGCTCTGGAAAAAGATGGTGTGATTGTATCAAGGAGCACAATATGACAATACTTGAACAAAAATGAGCTGCATGGTTGAGTTGCCAAAACGAATCCTTTACTGTGCCAGTTACAATATGCCCAACAACACCTCGACATGCCTCACAACTTCTGGCACACTGTATACTGGAGTGACAAGACCAAAATAAAGCTTTATGGTCACAAACATAAGCACTGTGTTTGGAGAGGTGTTGACAGCGACTGAAATACCATCCCAACTGTGGATCATGGTGGTGGCTCACTGATGTTTTGGGGATCTAAAGAAACAGGGAATCTTGTGAAAATTGATGGAAAGATGAATAAAGCATGTTATTAGAAAATACTGGCAGACAATTTGCATTCTTCTGCATAAAATCTGTGCAAGGGACTCTCTTGGACTTTCCAGCAGGACAATGACCCTAAGTACAAGGCCAAGGTGACCTTCTAGTGGTTACAGCAGAAAGAGGGGAAGGTTCTGGAGTGGACATTGCAGTCTCCTGACCCTAATATTATTGAGCCACTCTGGGGAGTTCTCAAACATGCGGTTCATGCAAGACGGGCTGTGGGCTGTGATAGCAAGTTTTCTATAGAGAGTAGTAAAGGGTGTCCTTGCTGGATTACATTGACAGAAGCTTTTATGTTTTAAGCAGAACTTTTATATTTAAATATTTTTTATTGAATTTTTAAACAAATACAGTTACAAAGGAGGCAACAGAGAAACAGGACACGTTCACCGTTGTATAAATGGTTGATATAGCATTTGACAATTCCAACAGAAAATGGGGATAGGGTCTACAAAGTTATAGTGTTAGTCATATTATGCTCAAGTTCAAATACAACTAAGAACCTGGGAGAAAAACAAGCGGGGATAAGGATAGGAGAAGAAAAAGATAGGAAATACAGAAACAGCTGTATAAACTACCGTATTTTTTCGCACCATAAGACGCACTTTTTTCCCCTCAAAAAAGGGGGGAAAATGTCAGTGCGTCTTATGGAGTGAATATGGAGCGGCCGGTCCGGTATTTCCACTGCTGCCGTGTCAGAATACCGGGCCGGCCGCTCAGCTCTACAGCGGGACTTTATAGAGATGACTGCTGACCTTTGGGGAGGGGGGGGAGCGGGTACCTGAATTTGACAGGTACCCGCTCCCACTTCCGTGGAGTTGTTCTTTCATCTTACCCGTTCCTCTATCCAGCGGCGCGGTCTTCCCGGCTTCTGTAGTGTGGGCACTGGGCATGACAGCCGGGTGCCAAGCGCGCATGCGCAGGAAGCGGTGCTTTTTGTGAATGGTAAGGCGGCACCTGGGACACATGACAGATCCCAGAAGCCGCCGGACCAATCACAAAGCGCAAGTGCTTCTCGCTCATGCGCACTGGGCACCCGGCTGTCATGCCGAGCGCCATTACAGAAGCCGGGAAGACAGCGCGCGGCTGGATAGAGGAACAGGTAAGATGAAAGAACAACTCCGCAGAAGTGGGAGGGTATCTGTCAAATTCAGGTACCCGCTTCCCCCCCTCCCCAAAGGTCAGCAGTCATCCCCTATACTATCCGCAGTCTCTGGTCATCCCTGTGCTGTCCGCAGTCTCTGGTCATCCCTGTGCTGTCCGCAGTCTCTGGTCATCCCTGTGCTGTCCGCAATCTCTGGTCATCCCTGTGCTGTCCGCAGTCTCTGGTCATCCCTGTGCTGTCCGCAGTCTCTGGTCATCCCTGTGCTGTCCGCAGTCTCTGGTCATCCCTGTGCTGTCCGCAGTCTCTGGTCATCCCTGTGCTGTCCGCAGTCTCTGGTCATCCCTGTGCTGTCCGCAGTCTCTGGTCATCCCTGTGCTGTCCGCAGTCTCTGGTCATCCCTGTGCTGTCCGCAGTCTCTGGTCATCCCTGTGCTGTCCGCAGTCTCTGGTCATCCCTGTGCTGTCCGCAGTCTCTGGTCATCCCTGGTCAGTCCTGTGTGCTGTCCGCAGTCTCTGGTCATCCCTGTGCTGTCCGCAGTCTCTGGTCATCCCTGTGCTGTCCGCAGTCTCTGGTCATCCCTGTGCTGTCCGCAGTCTCTGGTCATCCCTGTGCTGTCCGCAGTCTCTGGTCATCCCTGTGCTGTCCCCGCAGTCTCTGGTCATCCCCTGCGCTGTCCCCGCAGTCTCTGGTCATCCCCTGCGCTGTCCCCGCAGTCTCTGGTCATCCCCTGCGCTGTCCCCGCAGTCTCTGGTCATCCCCTGCGCTGTCCCCGCAGTCTCTGGTCATCCCCTGCGCTGTCCCCGCAGTCTCTGGTCATCCCCTGCGCTGTCCCCGCAGTCTCTGGTCATCTCCTGCACTGTGTCCGCAGTCTCTGGTCATCTCCTGCACTGTGTCCGCAGTCTCTGGTCATCTCCTGCACTGTGTCCGCAGTCTCTGGTCATCTCCTGCACTGTGTCCGCAGTCTCTGGTCATCTCCTGCACTGTGTCCGCAGTCTCTGGTCATCTCCTGCACTGTGTCCGCAGTCTCTGGTCATCTCCTGCACTGTGTCCGCAGTCTCTGGGTCATCTCCTGCACTGTGTCCGCAGTCTCTGGTCATCTCCTGCACTGTGTCCGCAGTCTCTGGTCATCTCCTGCACTGTGTCCGCAGTCTCTGGTCATCTCCTGCACTGTGTCCGCAGTCTCTGGTCATCTCCTGCACTGTGTCCGCAGTCTCTGGTCATCTCCTGCACTGTGTCTGCAGTCTCTGGTCATCTCCTGTACTGTGTCCGCAGTCTCTGGTCATCTCCTGTACTGTGTCCGCAGTCTCTGTCATCTCCTGTACTATGTCTGCAGTCCATTAGTTCAGAATTTTTTTTTCCTGTTTTCTGCCTCTAAAACCTAGGTGCGTCTTATGGTCAGGTGCGTCTTATGGAGCGAAAAATACGGTAAATAAGTTGAACAATATATCAGTCAAAGTATTGTTGTATACTCCATAGTGGGTGAGCTATCAGACTTACATTTTGGATTGTGTGACCATAAAGACCAGAAACAGGTAAATTTAGGGTATGAAAGATTGTTGAGGGCAAATCTTTTCCATATCACATTGGAGGTTTAAATCACTAATTGCCATAGCTGTAGAGGGAGACATGAGCGACTTCCACAGTCGGGTAATATTATTTTTGGCTGCATATAATGTATGAATTATGATGCAACGTGTGTTAGAGGGAAATCTGTCCAGACCAATATGAAATAGTGGTAGTGAGGGGTCAGGTCTCACTGTGGTTCCTATTACTTCAGAAATTACATTAAAAACACTATTCCAGAAGGATTTTAGTGATTTGCAAGACCACAGTAGGTGTAGTAGGAAGCCTATTTCTCCACACTGACACCAGCATTGTAGAGAGTAGGTGGAGTACAATTTTGATAGACAGGTCCTAAATACCATTGATGGAGGAGTTTTAGATAGGATTCCCAATGTGTAGCAAAGCCTGAGGATTTATATGTCAGGATGAAGGCTTTGCGCCAAGTTTGGTCTGGAAAAGATTGGGAAAAGATCAGTTCCCAGTTACTTCAGGACAACATTTTTAGGGTAAATTTTAAGTCCGTAGGGTGGGAATAGAACAAGGAAATCCTTTTTCTTGGATATATAGGATTGTTGAGGTATTGGAACACCGGGATCGGAAGTGTAGTGGTAGAAGAAGGAATGTTTTTAGATTGTATGCAATGGACAATCCTCATATTTCGAAGAGGGTAAAGAGAATTTATTCTGAAGAAAGTGGAAGGGAGCTATTTTGTTAGCTGTATAGAGGTCTAGTAATGAGTGGACACCACATTTTTCCCATATGTTTAGGTTGAGATAGGGTATGAAAGAGTATAGGGAATTGATGGGAATTGGTATTGAGTAGTCCAGGCTTCTAGAGATGCTTTTAATATATGGGTGATTGAAAAAAAAAAGTTGTTTATGATCTAACGAGCGTAGGATGAGGTGATTCTGTGGTGAAAGTGGGTGCAACAATGAGTATTCCATAGAGGACCAGGTTTTTTCTTTTTAGTTGGATGCCACCAAAAGTAGATTTGGTCAAGAAATGTGGCCAGATAGTATGAGTGTATATGTGGGAGACCCGCCCCGCCTCTATTTTATTGATGAATTAATAAATAAGTAGCACATCTAGGACGTTTGAATTCCCAGAGGAATTGGGAAAATTGCCTCTGGATATTGCAGAAGAAATTGTCGGGTACCAATATAGGGAGGGTCCGAAAAATGTAAAGTAATTTGGGTAAGATAAACATTTTCATAGCTGCAATCCGTCCTACTTTAGATAGGCTGTATGTTCGGAGATAGTGGAGTTCCTTTGGTAGAGATTGAAGGTATGGTTTAAGATTCAATTAAAAAGTTGAGAAGTGCCTCTCCCAGACCACTCTTCAGAAGCGCTGCCAGTTGAAGCCCTTCACTTTGGTCCTGGTGAACTGCAGAATTAAATACGCCTGGTGCTTTCCGTTCCGCCTCACCTTCAACTACCAGGGCCGCAGTCACTCTGTTGTCACGCCAGAAGAGGCCCACTCTCTCCTGGAATCTTTGCGCCTTCTTTCGCCGGAAGCCGCTACTCAGAGCCCAGCTCATTCATTCGATACCCGGCGAGGCCGCTTCCTCTGGGCTGCCTCGGGGAGTGGTTGTCCAACAGCAAGAGGGCTCTCCCTCAGACCCCTCTATGATCAAGTCCGTCCTGCTCTTCTCCAGGCTGAAGATGTATCTTGGATCTCCCGTGTTGTGTTTCACCTTTGGACTTTCCTGATGGGACCGTGAGTTTGGCCCTTAGGGCTTTTCCAGATTGTTAGCGTTCCAGGTTGGGCCTGATTCGGCCTGTTCCCTTAGGTTCCATCCCTGAGTGGGGGGGGGGGGGGGGGGGGGTCTCCTCCTGGACTTGCGGATTATAACTTTCTGCTGTTTTGGCCTACCACGGGTCCGGGTGACGTTGTTCAGGTTCCCGTTGGTGGAATGGGGTGATGGTTCCCTCAGGCTCCGAGATGGGAGGTTGGCCTGGTGGGGCCGGGTTGGGTGTCGGTCCTACTGGGAGGTGGGTGGGGGACCACTTGGGCTGTGTTGTGGGGTGCTACGGCGGCCTGTAGCCATCCTCCTGGAGGGAGTTGGCCCTTAAAGTTTAGCTGGGTTTCTATGGGGAGGTTACCACGGATGTTCTCACTTCTGGGACTCATATTTTATTGCTTTGATACCTCGTTATATTGTGTTTATTGCCTTTTGCCCCCTGAGGGCTCATGTTTTTGATGTTTTCATTTGCAGCCATGTGTCCGGTGGTAGAGCCACACCCAACTGGTATCCTTCAAGTATAGGAGGATGCATGTCACCATTGGCGTGACACGTTTCTACTGTTGTATATACTTCTTGTGTCATTTTCTTTTTTTTTTTTCTTGTTTTCTTCTGTGTTTTTTTTCTTTGTTTTTTTTTTTTTATGCAGGGTTTCAGGATGCCATGGTCCGAACGCCATTGGGAGTGGAAATTGTTGGCTGACCTATGCTTTTTCTGCTGAGCGTGCTGTGATGATACCTCCATGGCCTCACCCCTTCTGAAAGTACACTCACAAAATGTTCAAGGCTTCAATTCACCTCAGAAGCGTGCTAAAGTTTTTCATCACCTCAAATTGCAACAAATCGACGTGGTATGTTTACAGGAGACCAGGTTTTCTCAGTCCTCTGCTCCACGGTATCTTTCGCCTCATTATCCCACCTTTTACACAGCCTCGGTTCCTGAGAAACGCCGGGGTGTACTGATAGCTTTCAAACGCAATCTTCCTTTTGTCTGTGCTCAGAATATAGCGGACCCCATGGGCCGTATTTGCTTCTGCAGGCCACCCTCTGGGATCAGGAGGTTACTTTTGTCTCTTACTATACACCCAATCGCTTTCAGCATAAGTTCTTTTCTCATCTTTGCACCATTGTTTTACCAACACTCCAAGGGTCTTCTTCTCTCTGAGAGATTCAAATGTTACCTTGGATTCCACATTGGATAGGCGATATGCTCGGGGGGGGGGGGGGTGACCTCTTCTCACGACTTAGTGCTAGAGGAACGTATGCGCTCTCTCTTGCGGACGGCGGGGCTGGCAGACGTCTGGAGGGAACTTCACCCAACTGAGCGCGACTTTACATTCTATTCCAACCCTCATGACAGGTTTTGTAGAATTGACCATATATTCATGCATGTTCAGC